CCGATTTGGAACTATGTTATTTCAAGTCGTCGGGATCCAGGTTATATTTTATTCAATATATTTTATACCCGCTGACATTGCCCTCATCATTTCGTAGATTAGCAAGAACATACAGATTTTTTTTTAAATATGGTTATTTATATCTTAATAGCATGCAAATGACCCGCTGACCATAATAGAATACGGTTTCTTTACTCATGTGATAGAAGCCAGCTATTTCATTTTTTTTATAGGATAAGGGTGACAAACGAGCACACAGTCCATCTGATGGTAAGTGGTTTGAGTAGCCCATAGACTCTACCATGTATATTCATACTATGAGTATGTTGATAAGGTTGGAATTCACTACAATTCTGCGCACAAGTTAAAACATTAACATCCTTTAGAAGACAAAAGATTGTTTCCATCCCTACCGGATGTCTTTCGATTTAGTATACAATCCTTAGTAAGGTGGAGACAACAATGAATGACTAATTTTGTATTCCGCTCGTGAACGCACCTTCCTATCGGTGGCAGGTAGGTGTCAGGGTGATACTTATACCGCAATAAAATATTTACCCTTACAACTTAACATTCAATACCGCCGAATGTAGGAATAATAATTTTTTCCTGCATTCGTTGTCAGTACTTTGCACCCTTATTTCCTCCCCCAAATATATCGTTGAAGGGGATAGGTTGTCGGGTTATCATGGATCTATTTCGGTGACAAAATGGCGCAGTTTATTTTACTATCCAATATTCATACGACGCGACGCGTATTTTAAACATAAAGATAATATAGGTACCTAGCCAGAAATCAGAAAGCAAATATGTCTGTTCTTTTTTTTTTGCCACATTATGCGCCGTTACAATTGCATACTCTTGGCATGCAATAAGCTTAATTTACTATATAATTACCTACTATAATTACCTATTTTGAAGTCTTGCAGTGGTATGGTTAGGTTTGGATTTAAATTTGTTAATTATAGGATGCCAAGCAGATGGCAGAACCCATCCATCATGTCTATTGAAATTAGGATGTTTTTTTTTATTTCAATAGCCTAGCGTATCATCCTTCGTAGGAATCGGTAATCTTTTGCGAGGATTTGTGGTCTATGAAATCTGATTTAATGGCAGGGACGATCTTAAACATATTCACAGACTGCAGACTTCCCGGAGCGCCGGTGCTTCGCTTTAATTATTATCGTTTAGTTTTTCACTGATGCGAAATTAATTTGGAATGCAATTTCATTTGGATTGTTAATAAAACTGTAACAGCTTATTTAGAAAAAAATAATAATCAGAGGTTATCATTTTGACTGGTTTTTAATAAGCAATGATATCTAGGATCTAAAATTTTAGGTCCTTTTTGAGTTTATTATAAAATATTATATATTTTGAGTTCGTTATATATAAAGTATTAAAAAATATAAAAAGAATAGTTAATTACGCCGTTTCTTCTCCGGTCAGAGGAACCTCATTTCGTTAGATTGAAAAATTTGAAATGACATTTGATAAAATAAGTTTTTTTCTCTTATGTCGAAGAAATGGATATGTTTTATTTCTTTTATGTACCATATTCTCTAAGTTAAAAGTATAATTTTACAGTAATTAATGAATTTTCTTATATAAGTTAAAACAGTCGATCTTAACCGGTCCATGGACCACTGGTGGTCCCTAAAGGAACACCAAGTGGTCCACGAATACATCATACAATTCTCTCTTAAATAAAAAAGTCGAAAACATTTTTGAAGATAGTGTTGCTAAATTAAAATGAGGGGTAATTAACAATAATGACACACATTAAGTTTTGTATGTTTTATTTATAGAACAAACCTAAAAATAAATCTTACCATAATTTATGGTACGTCTAAAAGTTTGTGGTATGTCTAATGGTTCTTCATCACTTAAAAGTATAAGAACCACCGAGTTTAAAGTCACAGTGTTTCCATATTAATTCTAGATAAAATCGGTTAATTATTTTGAAATAATCTAATGACCTTTCTGAAATTCTATATTCGAATGACAGAAAACGAAGATCTCTATTCCATCTCCCGACTTTATGCATATTTTAACGTAGGTACTTTCCTTTTAAATGTCTTTTTCCCAATGAAAGTAAAAAAAAAATCTTGTCAGCAATACTCCCATCACTTTAAATTGAAAGAACTCTTTGTTTCTGATACAAGCACTCTTATGTTTTCGACAAGCGGGTAACATGTTTACGCTGCATCAGACGTTTCATCGAGCAATCAGTAAAAGCATGAGTCAAACATTGCTTTGTATGAAAGTCAGTGAACAAAGTCGTTAGATAACGCAGAAGGGCATGCAGACAGATAAAAAACGTATTACTGGCTGACTGCTTTCTAGAATATTTTGTGAGTCGTTATTTAAAATTAAAAAAAAAAGTAAAGTTGCCAGCCTTAGAGTATACTACATAAGAATATCTTTCCAGCCTATTTAAACGTCTTGCTTACGTAGTAACCATAGAGTACGTATTTAATCCTTGGATTTAATCACTACTTTTAGTAGTATTATAGTTAATCTGTTGTCTCACTGCTAGGCACAGGTCTTTTCTCATTTAGGCATTCTCAATGCGTGTTGGCGAAATTCGCATGGCCTAGAAATATTTTCATTTAAGTACATAGACATGTAGGCTTTCTTACGACGTTTTTTTATCGCCAAGCACGTGGTAAATCAGCACTTAAAATGAAATTTACAATTTCATTGATACCGGTGTTAGATCGAACTCTAGTTAGTCAACTTCAAAAAAAGAGGAGATTCACAATTCGACTTTATGTTCGCGTTTTTTTTTGTATGTATGTTATGCTATATCTTCGTCAATTGTGACCCGATATTAATTATTCTTTTGAATAATTTCATTTAAAAACTATATAAATTAGGTACATAGTTTTTAAATGAGTTATATAGTTTTTAAATTAGTTACACTTCTGTGGTGGTCCCATATAAATTTTGGAAAAAAAATTCCATCCCTGAGGGCGAAAAAAATAGGGGATGAAGTTTTTAGAGTAACTGTTAGACGAATTGCTAGTTGTGTTACCTTGAACTTGTGTAATCCAAAGTCCACTCAAAAGAATCAAAAATTAAACTTTTAATCAAACATAAACGCCGAGTTCAGAGAACTAAAAATAAAAAAAATCCGCATAACAGCTTCAAGACGGTGATAAGATAATATAAGATAATATCTTCTGTCATGTTAATATGTTGAAATCATTTTATTCTATTTTTTTTCTTATTTAGTTAATATATAGTACGTGAAGGTAATATGGTCATCCGGTTAATATGGACACTTTCTTATAACTCAAAAACTACAACCTTGTTTGCATAGATAGCTCTGTTAGATCATAGCTCTTCATCAGTCAATCAAATAGTAAAGGGTCAAAAGGGCCCTGCTATATCGACGCCATTTTGACAGTTGACAATATAATAAATATTTTAGGCGATTTTAGTATTGTGTAGTGTAGGTTTTATATAAGATTTTTCGAAGTGTTCCCAATTATTGGCAAAGCTTGTTTGCTATTTTTTTGCTTAATATATTAGTTATAGTATACGACTTTGTGTTTTTGCATGCGCAACGCGCATATGTATGTTTTACAAGGGCCTAAAAATTAAGATTCCAACGTTTTGTCGCATGAAATCGTCTCTAGCAATCATATTGTACATATAAGTGATATACCTAAAGAGCACATTGTCAGAAAGATAAATGATTGTTGAACTTATTAATATTTTTTTTTAATCGCTTAATTGCTATTTTTAAATAAAAAAGGGGTTTTGGTGGCTTATGGTGTAGATTTATCAAGTGCGTAAGGCTTGTGAACACGATAACTTTTGAAAATATCATTTGTTCAACTCAATATATTTTTAAAACTTCATCTATCATGTGGGAAGCCATTGAATGTAAATAACAGTTTAATTTTGTTTTGTTTAGTTATAATAAATTTTTTTCGGCTGCGAAATGGCGAAATTTTCGGTGTTTGAGCAGCCTTGTGTGAAATCGTAAAATAGCAGCTTAATGCTGCTGTGTTTCGTATGGTGAGTGTGGAGAACCGGAGACCCTTTTTACTGGAAAAGAGGCATTCCATCTTAGTCCTCACGGGTGACAACGCATCTGAATTTTGATTCTTTATTGATGATAAATGTAGATGTCTATGGGTTACAGCTACCACTTACCATCAGGTGGACTGTGTGCTCGTTTGTCACTCTATCCTATAAAAAAAAACTTATTTTAGTAAATAGACTGCCTCACTCGGTTAGTACGGCGTCAACCGCAGTTGTGAGTGGATACTGTATTGGTTGTTTGCAGCGGCTCAAAAAGATCTTTGTACAAATAAATACAAAATATTCGAAAAACAAATTTCTTACTATTTTATATTACTTGATTATTATAATAATCAGAGATTTTTATTACAATATTTTAAAAGCACAGAATAAATAATAGGAGTACGTACTAAAAGTAAGTAGGATGTAATATTTATAGTTGGATACGTCTTGGACTTTTTGGAGTGACATGAATGATGATATGATGATCATATGAGCATTATGAGTCGTGCACTTTTGGATTTTCCAAACTTTATGCAAATTGAAGTTTGACATAAAATTATCGGAAAATTGGAAGTATAATAAGGTTATTAGTGAAAACTTCTGTGTATTTAAACTACTTTAAAAAAAATCCGCACAATCATGTTATACGTAATTTTTTGAATGCGATAAGGTATGCTCAATTGGATTTACCAATAGTTTGTCTCTATCCTCCTCCCAGTTTTGGTTTTATAGGACGGCAAAGCTTAAGGTGACCATATTACCCCCACGTAACTTAGTTGTTATTTAGTTGTATAGGTCATTGTTACTTAGTTTATTGTAATGTACTGATCATAATATGCAGGAGAAAATAAATACCAAATTACTTATTTATTTATCTCTTTTTAGTTTTTTTTTAAGTCTGCTTTTACTTTTTTATTTTACATTCTGTAAAGAAACTAATGGATGATTGTTTTTTGTTACAGAAACCTAAAAAATGGCCTGCTCCGTGAGTGATGCCCCCTCCCTGAAGGATCTCCCAAAGGTTGCCACTGACCTCAAGAGCCAGCTCGAAGGTTTCAACACCAGCTGTCTTCGCGACGTCGACACTAACGAAAAAATTGTGCTTCCATCTGCTGAAGGTAATATCAAAACATTTTCGTCTCCCAATAAAATAGTATAAAAAAATTCAAAGCCAGTTTTACATTCTATTAAAGTCCACTGCTGAACATAGGCATCCTCCATCGATTGCTTCATAGGGGGAATTTCGCTATAGTCCACACTTGGAAGGCGTTTGCAACAGCAGTTTTTTTATTTTATTTTAAAGTTATTATTATTATTATTTTGTTTTTTTTATATATAAAAGGGACAAGCGAGCATGTAGCTCACCTGATGGTAAATGACTACCGCCGTTCATAAACAAGCGGATACAGAAAGCCAGTATAATCATAGGTTTAGTGGCATTCCATCTTAGCGGTTTCAACACATCTGTAGCTCTCTTGGTTTAAAATTGGTTAGGTTACAGGTAATCGATACGCTCTATACTGGAAACGAGGTATTTCATCATAGTCCTCAGTGGTGATAAGGCATCTGTATTTTTATTCTTTATCACTCAGCACCTACTTATCATCAGCTGGACTGTGTTTTCCTTTGTTACTCTTATCATCAGGTGAACTGTTAGTTCGGTTGTCACTCCAATTCAATAAAAATTATTTTATTTTTAAATACCTAATGCTAAGAAAATTTTCGAAATCTAAATTTAAATAAAGTATTTTAGATGCCCGTGTCGTTGGTTTGGATGCGTTGATCCGTCACCGTATCGCGCGATTTAGAAGTTTTGTTTTTGGGTCGCAGAATAATCTCATCAAAATTATTTGTAATATTTTTAGTAGATGTATGTAGTAAAATTTTTAGTAGATGGTCAAATTTATTAAAATGTAATTTATAAAATGTAATAATATCATTGATTAATCAATAATTATAATTAAAATTTGAGGTATAGTTTAAAAAATTTAATTTTAATTTTGTAATGGATCTGTGTTGTCTGTATCAAACAAATTATTGTTATTATTATTATTATTTATTATTTGGGGGTTCTTATACTTTTATAACTAAGTATTACCTGTTAGTCAGCGCTTGACTAGTCTAAGTGAACCATCATATGATAAGTGAGACGTGTTTGCGCTCTCAAAACAATGAAACTGACGGTGTTACTCAATAGCTACCCAAATATGTTGTACACCAGTAAGCCGCAGCGTAGTAAAAACAGAATTTTGATGTTACTATGGCCGCAGTCTACCCAGCGTGGTGGTTAAGGGTTAAAGCAATTATTTCAAGATAGGCATTAAAGATTGTATCTTGAAAAGGCCTTTATCCAACAATGAACTTCAAAATGTGCATTACTTTAATAAAAAAGAAAATTTATTAATAATATATATATATTATTTTCTACAACAGTGTTTTGTTCAAAGAAACGACTAAGATGTTTAGTTTTAGAGGTAGATTAATTTGTTCTTGTAACAGACATTGCGCAAGAGAAACAGCACATAGCACTTCTTGAAGACCTAGAGAAATTTCAACCTTCCCTTTTAAAGAAGACCGACACTGTCGAAAAAATCGTTCTTCCAAACGCATCGGGTATTTTGTGTGCGCAAAAAGCGAAACTAACGGACTAAATTTAAATTTAAATTGTCGTGCGTTACAAATTACAGATTACGACACGCTTCACTTTATAACAATCACATTTCCTTTTATTACAATGCTAATAACCTGTTATCCATGTTGGTGACACTTTGAAGTTTCTACCAATTCGGTTTGATTCATATGAACTAGGTAACAAAAAAAAAATCACTATCTAATTCATCATTTAAATATTTTATTCCATATTTAAAAATCCTTAGTATTTTGACCACATTGCAAGACATTTCAAACTACCATTGAAATAAGAATTTCATATTCCATCGGATTTTTAATAACAAGCATGAATTGTTTGTGTGTATGTCTCTATAACACTAATAAACGAAATCTATTTTCTATTAGATCTAGAAATTTAAAAACTGAGCATAAGAATTATAAGTGAAAATAATAGCATTGTAACATTTTGCCTATTTGTCTTATCTATCGTTATTGGCCCAAAAAATCGTAATACATTAGCAAGATTGTACTGCTATCATTTTACGAACCCTCAATCTTATAATGGTGGGCAAAGAGTATATAAATTACTATGTTTAATGTTATGTTATATAGTCAAAGTAATGTAGTGTAACCCTCCAGTATATTCTAACTCTATGGTGTAACCGTATAGTGACGGCTTATGACAATCCACTATCTCATATCGTATCGTGGGTGTCGTTAGAGGCGACACAGGTGATTTCTTCCAGATAAAAACTCAAAGTAATAAAAAAACCTACGGTTGCCAACTCGACTGCCAAGCATGGCAACCATGGCTAAATCCCCTCTTAGTAATTTATTTTAGGGGGAGGCCTTTGTTCATCAGTCAACTTTTATAGTATGCCAAAGTATAATAAAAATATCACCATAGATAATTAGTTCTCATTTTTCTTTATTTTCTGACTCCTGCGATTTGCTATCACTTACGCTGTTAGACGTACTAACGTATGCTTGACGTGTAAAATGCAAGAAATTTATAATTACCAACCTACGCAAACGTATGTTGGTACTAACTTATGTTAGTAGCTTATATATCGATATTTAAATCAAAATTATTTAAGTGGCTCATTCACAGAAAAATATATGACATATTTTAATTTATCTTTAATTCAATGTAATTTATTTTAATGACACTTAAACTTTGTGATATTATTTTTATGTTTATATTTGAAAGATAATAATATAAATTTCGCATGCTATTTGTAATAGTGAGACATGTGCACCTTTTTAACATGTACCACCTTTATATACTATGTTCTTACACAAATTCTGATTCTGATTATGATTCTATAACGCGATATATATCGATACTGTTAAAAATATCGATACGATATATATCGATATGTTTTTCACTTGTCCATCCCTAACATATTTAATATCGATTTACAGATGTTGCCGCTGAAAAAAATCAAAAGTCATTATTTGACGGCATTGAAAAGTTCGACGCCAGCAGACTGAAACACACAGAAACACAGGAAAAGAACCCTCTCCCAGATAAAGATGGTATGATTACATTAAAATCTTACAACGCATCGCATGAGCGCGTTTAAGTTTCATACTCCGATGCATTTAAAATATTGCACCTATATTTGCCTATTTGTACACATTGCACCATATCTTTTAGCAATATTTTAAAGGTTAAAATTGAAAAGCAGCATTTGTTTTCAATATTTTTTTGCGTTTTATCCAATAAATTGTTATTTTTTAAATTTCTGCTAATTTCCCTCTGTATTATTTTAATAACCTCTATTTTTATTAGCATGTATAAAATAAAGTGATTTTGATGTGCTTATATTTTTTCGTTCTGAATGACTCGCAAATTTATATGAGCGTAGCAAGGGTGGCCCCAGTACCAATATTTCTCAAATTATTTCAGAAATTCTGCAATATTGATAATTATATATTATGTATAATATGTTCGTTGGTGCTTCTGCTAGTGATCGTGTAACTTCTAACTACTTGACCGATTGCGATCATAATCACACAATACACTTGTTTTGTCGATGGTTCATAGCTATATTGTGATCCTATAGATGGCGCTGTAGTCAAGTTATTAACAAATTCTATATTTATAATGTATAATATAAGGACCAAGTAATTAGAAATAGGGCATTATTCATAATGTACAGACAGTTTGAAAAATGCCCAATATTAGTACGTTTCAATAAAGTCCGTTACTTATTGGGCAGAGTAATAAAAACATAGGTTAAGGTAAATTAGGTTATGAACAGATGTGAACAGATATGAACAGATAAATCAATACTGATTAATACGTAGCTGATTTGCTTATTTTCATATTGCCTAGGCATAATAATTAGTGCAATGGTAGAGTAACGTCTGCCGGGCCTAGTTGTTTTATGTAAAATATAATAAATATTTTCTTCTATAAGTTATGGTTAAAAGGCTTTTTTATGACGTCACAGACCCTGAATATTTTTTATAAAGTATTTTTGAAAATGGACAAAGAAATCGGAACGGAAAATCTTTTTAAATTCTTTTTATCTTTTCCTATTTTAGAACATTACAATTAGAATAAGGATTACTTAATCGTTAGGATTTTTTTAACTTTAGCGTTCTTGTCGGTGAAAAAAATCACTAATCTGTTTTTCCTTCTGCAAACTAAGGCAATTAATTAAAATTTAGTGTAATAAAGTGTGTCAATTGACGACCTTCAAAAGTTTACGCTCGAAGGACCAAAAATAATGTACGGGCCGCAGTTTTTTGATAGTTCAGTTAGTTTTGGGTTATGTAGGTTTAAAGTTAGTTTAAGACGCTGGTACGTCAGTATAAGTGGCGTATAAAATAAGCAGACGTGTTGTTACTTAGCAGTTTATTACACACACTAAGTTTAATATGAAAAACGGTGCATTATAAATAATCCGTGGCGCGGTGGTTCGAGCAGCATCAGCATAAAATAATGTATGGTTTTTGGACTAAAATTTTGAAATGTAACAAACATTTCAAAATTTAAGTCCAAAAGTTAAAAATGTTAAATCCTATCGAATCTTAAAGTAACAAGCAAAGAGTATATAATCAATCAAGAGTATACAACAAAAACGACAAGCACTTTTAAATCCTACACCCAAAGAGTAGTTAATCACTACGTTTTAATAGAGATGTGCAGAAATTTTATTTTAATTTTATTACCTATGTATATTAATATTATTTTGGCCTACCCTTGCTACGTGTATAATATTTGAACAAGCTTTATATTTCATATTATTTTGCCCTGCACGATTTTGCTTATGCCAGTTGTCGCAGCGGAGAAAGCGCATCAAAACCTCCTGGAAGGCGTTGAACATTTCGACAAGACTCAAATGAAGCACACAACGACCGAAGAAAAGAATCCGTTGCCGCCCAAAGAAGGTTTTTCTTTATGCTTTGATACTGCTTTATGCAATTTGTGCATTATCTTAACTTAGCTTTAAATATAACTGTATAAACGATATAAATGTGTTGAAATGGATAATACAAAATCCGTGATTGCTGAACCAATTTCTTACTCTCACCGAAATATTTAAATGAATAAATTACTACCATTGAAGACATCTGATCAAAAAAAATGATAGACTTCTATCTCGTAAGACAAAGGTCAATTCCGTGATAAATATTACACATTGAAACTTAAATTTAACCTTTTCGGTGTCCCATGAACTACATATAAGTCATTGCTATTGTCTTACTATTGTGTCTGGAAACCGGACAGTGAAAGTGTTACATTAACGGTAATTCGCTCCCTTTTTAAATTGAACGACATTGAAACGCAATACGCAACTGATAAGAACACTAGATGCGCCATTATAGGGTTGTATTTAATTCTTCTATAGCTACTTACTAGTCTTGACACCCGGTGGTTATCATATTGACGACCATGGAGAATCCCAGAATCCAATAGGTATATAACATTTTCGTATCGTCCTGTGGGTGTCGTGAGAGAAAACAGATGAAAACAACTCAGAAGATAGCAGTTTTCTAATTAAAATTAAAAAAATAAAATTCTGTGGTTGTAAATCCGTCTGTCAAGCACTGCAACTATGGCAAATAATCCCCCTTATTAGGCTATCAAGGGGGGTGGCCTATGTACATCAGTGGATTTTTGATAGGCTGTAAATGTAATCATTTCGTATATTATGTATTAAGCTAAATGTAAAATACCTAGACGGGCTAAGAAATGAAGCTGCCACTTATCCGTTTACGAAATTCATAATCGTGATGATGGTAGTCAAATTTTATATTTAAGTTCAAATATACCGTTACTGCAGTTTTCGAAAATAAGACTTCTACTTCTGTTTGTAATCATCCCAAATTGAATGTGATTTATGGGCAACATCCACGCGTACGCGCACTCCTCTGTGTACGATTCAATTCACAACGTTTTTGCCAACCAAGTGACCCTTGCGAATGTGTGCGTGAGTAGTAAAATAGTAGGCGTTACATATTTATGAATGATAATCGGTTAAAATAATGCATCACCACGCATTGAATTTAAAAGATAAAACAATTGCGTGAGTGACGTGGAACACTCGGTAGGAACGAAGTTCCATTCGGTAGTCCATTATTATTGATAAACGTATTATATTATTGATTAACAAATACAAATATAAATGAATTACTAGCGGCTATTAAAATGAAGCGTCATTTAAAATTATATTTCTCTAATGGCAAGATAAGAAAGAGTGAAAGGGATATTATTCCATCCCGCTTGCACTATAAAAAGGGATCGTGACGGAAAAATCTTACACTTTTTCTTGCTTAGCACCCATCCGTCAAATTCGTACCGGGCGATAAGAAGCTTCGTTTCATAAGGACAGAATGTTTGACTTTTTTTCAAATTAATTTTTCTTCACCATCCGCCTATATTACTTTTTCTGAATCTTCTCTGCAAAATTGGCCGTATATTGCGAAATAATCTTGTACAAAAGAATAGGCCCACTATTATCAATCGAATGTAGCAGGCGTGTGAAAACTTAGAAAAAGGCAAAAAGTTCAATGTGGCAATCTATAGTTTTCGATTTAGCTTATATCGGTCTTTTCAATCGACCAATCGTCAGATCCGTAACCATAGACAACGTTCAATTGACGTATAAATCACCTCATTGTCACTCGACTTATGACAACTTACAATGCAAAATTACGAAACTAGCTAGCATAATACAAAAAAATCTAGCTAGGTCACACACTATTACTGTCTGCTGAGATATTTAAGATTACTTAAACAATACCTACTTATGCGAAATTGAAAAATCAAAAATATATTAACAAATTATATTTTTTTTATAGGATAAGGGTGACAAACGAGCACACAATCCACCTGATGGTAAGTGGTTGCTATGGCCCATAGACATCTGCATCTATCCTCGATTACGAATCAAAATGCAGATGCGTTGTCACCCGTGAGGACTAAGATGGAATACCTCTTTTCCAGTAAAAAGGGTCTCCGGTTCTCTACACTCACCATACGAAACACAGCAGCATTAAGCTGCTATTTTACGCTGGTATTCTGTGAGAGCGTGGTCCTTCCCCGGTCGAGCCGACCCATTCGTGCTACAACTATACCAGTAATATAGCTGCAGCATGGCTCTACCACGTGAACCTACCTAAATATATATATATATATATATATATATAATTATTGCATTTTCTGTTTCAAATAAACACGATCATAAACTAACGCTTAAAAATTTTAACAGCTATCGAAGCGGAAAAGGAGAAGAACAAATTCCTGAACGGCATTGAGAACTTCGACCCCAGCAAGTTGAAGCACACCGAGACCTGTGAAAAGAACCCTCTACCAACAAAGGACATTATCGAGCAAGAAAAGACTGCTTGAAATGCACATTTAAATAATCAACCGCAATTATATCTCGCTAGTATCGCCGTATTTTAGTATCAGTATAAGTTTTTGTAAGTAATAGGCCCGTTTGCGTCGTCCGTTTGATTTTACCATTCTTTAAATATTAAATGATAAAAGTTTTTGAACGTACTTTACACACTCGCCTATAAAATAAGGATAACTATCTGGTAACCGTTTACATACTGTGTTATGTGAATGAGATGATATATGCACACACAAACGTCTGTTTTTTAGTGTCGTTGCCTGTGCTTCCAATTTCTACAATATTACCTTAGTCTATGGATACCTTGAAACGGGCTTCGTGAACTGGTCATTATCATTAGTATATAGGAACCAAATTTTCTATGTCACTTTTAACATGATATGATATATAATAAGTGTATTTTATGAGCATTTTATTTAATTTATATCGAGGTAATTATTATTAAGATTCAGTACTGATTTTATATTAAGTTGGGGACACACTGCACTCCAAATTAATTTATAACATTTATTTATGTAAAAAACCTTGCTTTGTGTGCTTGTGTTCTCCATATTTTAGTTGAGATATAATTAGATGACTGAGAGAATCGTGCATCGAATTCGTAGCGTTTCAGATCAATAAAATTAGGAGTGTAGTTACCGAGTACTAAAGTCAAAATTTTAGAATATTTCTGCATTATACTGTAACACTGTTTAAAATACCGAAAATGGTATTTAGAATGGTGACCAAAACGGTGTATTGGAATGCTATTAAATAATAAAGCAATATTTTCTTTTCTTATGATACGAACAATAATTTTTATACTCATATATTGCATTGTGTATAACAAGCAACAATTCCCTTGTTCAATATTTCAATATGCTAATGATGCCAATAAAATTTACATTTTATCGACATTTTGTATGTTTTACAGACGGTGCTTTTTATAAATATAAAATGGAAAAAACTTTTGTTTTTTTTTTTAATAATTTGATATTACCTTGAAATTATAACAACTAAAATGGGTCACACCATGTATTTAGTCTTAAAAAACTTACATAATTTAAAATTTTAAATACATATACTTATTCCGTGTTGATATTATTGCAATGAGCTAGCCGAGCGAGCAATTCACGGGAGTCGGGCACGGTTACATGAGTCTAGTCTTTTTTTTTACTATTCTAAGTCAGTGCTTAACTACAATCCCACCTGATGTTAAGTAGTGATGTAGCCCAAGATGATGAAGCGTACTGACTTAACAAAACCCTATTCACCCTTGCCTGGAAGACACCCACATTGTAATCCGATGGAAAGACAGATGCTGGCAACTTATTCCACTCTTTTGCTGTACGCATGATGAACGATGTAGCAAACCGTTTGGGTCGAATGCGTGGTAAGTTAACAACGAAAGAGTGGAGACTGGCCGAACGTCTGGTTGTTCAATTGTGGAAGGGAGAGGAAGGAATTTAGTTACGCAATTTCTGCGCACTCCGAAATTTATCCTGTAGAAAACCGAAAGGATGGCCACAGCAGCATTAAGCTGCTATTTTAGGCTGGTATTTTGTGAGACCGTGGTCCTTTTCTCCACCACAAAAGTATATAGATAGGTCTACTAACAAAACTTAAGAAAATATGAAATATTGTAATATATTTTTGCGCCGGACTGGAGCCTAAACTAGGGTGTCCCTGTGTGTGTGTGTGTGTGTGTGCGTGCGTGAGTGTTAGCTTATAATAGCAACAAATGATTCAGTGTAGTCATAACCAAGCTTTGAAAGATATTCTTTTAAAGAAAACTTACATTCATACAAAGTTTTTTGATAGATGTTTAATAATAAATTTATTTTGTTGTATAAATAAGGGGCGAGAAAGCAAGATTGTTTTCTGAAGAAGGCAGTATTATGTATACGTAATACTACATATTCTATTGTTTCTTCACTGCTTACCAATAATTTTAGGGTCATAGGTTAATTCTTTGTGCTTGCGCAAAGTTAGATTTAATATTAATAGTGTCTTACAGTCATGAATTTACTTTGTACAGATTGAGTGTTGAGTATCGGTAAGGCTTTTTTAGCATTACTTTAAGTTTAAGCAGAGATCTCTGTGTGCGTTCCACCTTAATAATTCTAGTTTTGCACGCTCCACCCATAGCATAGCTCTACCACGTAAGTATCTATCGGCATACGTATGTTAAAGTGCGAAGTTAAATTTAATCCACTCTCCCCCCCCCCCCTTCCGGGTGCGCGTAAACCCTCTGCGCCCAAGAAAGTGTCGTTTTTTCAGTTTTCTAGAAAACCGTACACGATACATGAAAAGTGTGTAGAACAAAATAATCTATAATAAATTTGCTATCAATTTCTCATAAATAAAAGGTATAATTTCATCATTTCTCACGTGGTAGAGTCATGCTGCATTGCTGCAGCTATATTAGTAGTATAGTTGTAGCACCAATGGGTCAGCTCGACCGGGGAAGGACCACGCTCTCACAGAATACCGGCGTAAAATAGCAGCTTAATGCTGCTGTGTTTCGTATGGTGAGTGTAGAGAACCGGAGACCCATTTTACTGGAAAAGATGCATTCTATATTAGTCCTCACGGCTGACTACGCATCTGCATTTTAATTCGCAAACGAAGATAGATGTAGATGTCTATGGGCCACAGCAACCACTTACCATCAGGTGGACTGTGTGCTCGTTTGTCACCCTTTTTCTATTAAAAAAAAAATATATATTTCCAATCTCTAAATGAATACATTTAAAAATAGGTATAATTTGTTTCCAACTTTTAAATGTATTCTGTTCTTTACCTTAATTGTACATATTTTGGTGGTAAAGTGGGAAGCTTTAAGATAACTAAACTTTGAGCAAATAAATCGATAAATGATAAAATGTACATATTTCGTGCCAGATTGTGCGGAAACTATAAGTGACATCGCTTTTGTATGTATAAGGGGTTGATAGAAAATTTATCAAGAATCATTACGTACCTACACACTTTTACGTACGTTGCTATTTATAAAATGCTTGAACTATAAAATATATAGGTGTCATCTGTTCTCTAGCTTCTACTTCCTGTATAGGAGAGTTACTATACTCTTTGCTTGCTAAATATTTATATACTAGCTGTTCCCCGCGACTTCGCCCGCGTGTTATTTGGAGTTTTAAGTTTTTTGCACGGAACCCTAATTCTTATTCTAAAATAAAAGTATCCTAAGTTACTCCTTGTGACATCAGCTATCTGCCAGTGAAAATTCCATCAAAATTGGTCCAGCCGTTTCGGAGAATACCCGGAACAAACAGACAGACAGACGGACAGACAGACAGACAGACAAAAACTTTAAAAATTGTATTTTTGTTATTAGTACCGTATATACTTTCATATGCATTTAGTAAAAAGCTGTAATTTTGACATTACAAACAGACACTTCAATTTTATTTATTTGTATGGATCTATGGTGATATATTATATCTATGGCGCCTCAGACTCTTGATATACGCGGGTTAAACCACGGGGCACAACTAGTCATACATAAATGTGTATAATTCTTTCTTGTGCTAAATATTCAAGCGAATTAATAATATAATTATTTGTTGGCAACATTTTAAAGTTCTTTGGCGACTTTTGGCGATATTAATTAATACCGTAAAACGGGGTGAATAGAAATAGCAGGGTGAATGGAGACAAAACCAAGAAAGTTATTTTGCCCCGACTCTGGAATTCTTAATATAAAAATGTTACTAGTTTTTTTTTAAACTGCAACTTTTTTTTATAAGATGGCAATTCCAGTTGACCATGAAGTTGGAGGAAGAGTTTTGGCGGGAAATTGACCGGCGGCGGTTTGCTGCTCCTGTATTATTGTTTAAATAATGGTTTGAAGTGGACTTTGATATGTAAAAGTGTTGCGATTTTGTGTATTAAGTGGATGGATGGATTCTCAAGATAAGCTGTTTGTTTGCATAGGCACCTTTAGATACCATCGCCAACTATCAGCTGTCTGCTGGATCAAGTTGCCGTCAAAATCTCCCAAGAACTGCACAATGTGACGCATCAACATATTGTGAAGCAGTATACTATGAAGGAGTGGGGAAATTACAATAAACCGAATAAAAATACTTAACCCTACAAGGCACTCAGTACCATATACGTGACAACCACTTTAATGGTTCCTACAGCTCTATGAAATACTAGCAGCGACATCTCATGGTTTTTGAGCGACACGCCGCAAATATAGCAATGATATAACACAAATAATTGCGTATAGATGTCTTTACTGATCCGATTACTGTCAGTAAACGGTGAAATTTATACCTTAGGTTTGCGTTTGACGTTTGCATAAATTAAATAAATAATAAAATACCGTTACATTAAGGTTTTGATCCGGGAAAAAATATTACGTATTGTAAGAAAGTGCTTATTTGGTAGAGGTAAGTTAGTTTTCAGGATCTAAATGAAGATAAGGTAGAGAGAGATTTTTCTGTGGAATGGGTGGCAAATGTTTATGTTACAGACATTGTAACAGTGACGTGGTATGATAACAAAGTAGTTGTCTTATCATCGTCTTTCGGGGGTCAAGAGCCAATACAATCAGTAAAGAGGTACTGCAAGAAACAGAAGAAATCTATACAGGTAGATTGTCCGCAAATTGTAAAAAGTATATAATCAGCATATGGGAGTTATAGACCTACTGGTTTCGTTCCTGGGAAAATATAAAATTAAAATAAAGACAAGAAAATGGTATTTGAGGCTATTTTATCATTTTTTTGATGTTACTGTAATAAATAATTGGTTACTGTACAGAATAATTGGGGAGCAAAAGCAAACGCCAATCCCACTAAAGCTAAAGGACTTCAAATTTGACCTAGGAAAAGTCTATGCATGTGTGGGCCATCAATAATATATCAATCAATAAGAAAAGAGGCAGACTTTCAAGTTTGCCTGATCAAATAGAAATAAAGAGAAAGAAGCCGAATACGACAATCTTACCCCCTCGTGAAGTGAGATGTGACGGGTTTGAGCATTTTCCAATTTGGGGTCAAAAAAGGCAACGCTGTAAATACCCCGGTTGTAAAGGAAAACATTTATATCATGTGAAAAATGTCGAGTCGAACTCTGCTTCAATAAAGATAATAATAGTTTCAGAAACTTTCACCAATAGGTAATTTAAAAAAAAAATGTTATTTTGTTATGTTATAATTATTTTGTAATATGTTTATTTAATTATGCTAAGTACACTTCAACATCATTCAAATGATAACATGTTCCTAAAATAATTCAAAAGTTTTAGTTAAATCACAAAAAATATAGTTAAGGCTCAGTGTACCACATATGGAACTGAAATAAAAGACTGATTTTCTAGTAAAATATTGGATTTTGATTTTTTTATTATTTTTTCCCAAGTACTGATTACTAACAACATCACATATATTTTTATTAGCAACAGAAAAAAAATTGAGCCTTGTAGGGTTAAGACTTGGCCTAAAGGTCTAGATACCAGGCCATAAACTCCAAAAACAAAAGTTGGAGGAAGTTAAAAAAAATGCGTTCAAATATCAACCGCCTTACGGTGACAAATTTGCCTCCCATAAAGTTGGTGGTTTTATATAGGAAATACGAAATATTGTGTGATATAAGTTATATAAAGTGTTCCTTAGTTTATCAAGATCAAGTTATTTATACAAGTAAGTACAATTTTGATTTGAATTCATTGATATTGAAGAAAATTCAAAAACAGACATTGGATATTCCAACAGGACTCAGCACCGGCTCATAGGGTACGAAGCACGCAAAACTGGTTGACCGCCCGTGGAATTCACTTTATCGGAAATGAAGACTGGCCCTCTTCTAGTCCAGATTTAAGCACACTGGATTACAAGATATGGCAACGTTTGGAGGAGAAAGTCTGCGCTAAACCTCCTCAGAATTTGGAATCTTTCCGGGCATCTTTGGCTAAAGCAACGGCAGAAA